GTGTGCTGCGTGCGCCCCGCCCGGGCTCGTCTTCCGCCCTGGGACCACCTCCCCCCCCCCCCCCGGGCTGGGCTGCACCGGTGGACTTGCTCTTATTGAGAAATTGGAATGCCAGTCCTTTCATATTTCAAAATGTAAATCCGAGGGAGAAATAATATTTTTTTGAACTTACGACTCTTTTTTTTTTTTTTTGTTTACATTGGAAGGAAAAAAAATCAGGAGTTTCGATCCTGGGTGCCAAGCAGGGGAAGAAGGAGGGCCACAATCACTGTGGTAACCGCACTCGAGAACTTACGACTGTTTAATTTAATTTCTCTGTTTCTTTAGGAGATATGATTACCATTTGAATTACTAACCACGAGAATTAAGACTTCCATCGGAGAATAAGTGGGTTCTTTCATGAAAAAAAGGTAGGTGGGGTAATATGAGAATCTTAATAATAAAAAAATTTGTTGACTATATGTGAAAAGTGATAATCTGATGTATATTGTTTATATATTCAGTCATAACAATTACAAAGATATATAGCAAATTGTACATAAACATATATGGAAAGAAGTAATAACTACAGCCTAAACTACAGGGATTGCTGGACTAGAGAAGGAAACAGAATCAGTTAAAAGTCTGCAGCAATCTACTCCTATGATTGAGATTTGATATCGTAATATATACTAATTGTTTTTTTCTTTTCGGTAACCAAACATTGGTTGAAACTTTTCACCACACATGGAAAATAAAATACATGCTTGAGTGAAATTTCAGGTTTGGTGAAGTGCGGTCCCCCTGCTTTTCCATAATGCGCGTTCCACTAACCATCTTTCTTAAAGAAAAAAAAGTAGAAAACAAAAGTGATTCTCTATAAAGTGGTTGAAAGTGGGAAGAAAGGGAAGCCACACTCGCATACAACAAAATGGTGTCTGTATCTCTGAAACTTTGCTTCCTTCTCCTAGTCCTTGGCCTTCCTTATTTCAGCACAGCTACCTCATGGATGAGCCGTTCACACACATCGTGCAATGCTTCGATAGCAGAGTGTGACGGAGAAGGCGAGTTGCTGATGGAGTCGGAGATAAGCCGGAGGTTTCTTGGAACCAAGAAATACATCTCACCTGGGGCTTTAAAGCCGGACCAGCCAATTTGCAATAGCGGCGGTAAAGGCGAAGCTTATAGCAAAACAGGGGGCTGCCTTCCTCCTCCATCTAACCCTCACAACAGAGGCTGCTCTAAGTACTATCGTTGTCGATCAGACTCGTGATCACACGTGCAAGTTTGGATTTCTATTTGGTTTTGACAATCCTATATATTTGCAGTACACTTGAAGCTATATAGCTGTTGCTCTTGAATTTTCAGTGACTGATGTCTTTGGTTGCTTCAATTGTCAAATAAACTCATGCATAATTTTAAGATCAAAGCCTCAGATGCAGCACACTCCTCACAGGGTTTTGTATCAATCGACTTTTTCTATTTCGCTAACATCCAATTTTCTAAAGATGATCGCCTTATGCTGAGATAGGGTCAGGAAAAATTTTCATCTTTACTTTCTGAAGATATATATGTGGTTGATGTGGCATTTACAATTGAGTCCTTATAAGAGGAACTCCTCCTTAGTTTTAAGGACTTGGGGAAGGGGAAATGTTTGACCCACTTTTCCACTCTAGCACCACCCCATATGTACACTTCCAAAATATCATTTAGAATATCATTTTGTCAATAATGAAACATAAAAATAGATGCCCAACCAACAGTAGGCAAAAATGGATGAAACAACGGAAAATGAACGTTCTTCCCTAAATCAACGACGGCTTGTTTTGTTTAGGGTTACGTGTTGGGGTTTTTGTATTTTGTGGGTTTTTGTTGTTTTGGGCCTCCTATTTTGGTATTTTAGGTTGAGTTTTGTTTTGTTAGGCCATCGTCAAATCCAAAATATCCCAAATTATAGCCCAAAACCTCTCCCAAATCAAGAAAATGAAGGGGCCAAAATTTGGAAAAAATATAGGGCCAAATAGCAGTACAGCTATTGCTTGGACCCAAAAAAATTTCGATAGAGCCCACCTGCTGCTTAAGCAGCCCATGTACAAGGAATTAGATTGGGTCCCGCACTGCAGTGGTTGTTTGCTGCCTGACGCAGCAGCTTGCCAAGAGTCGCCTTTTGGTTATGTTGCCATTGGAATCCAACGGCAACAATTCAATTATTGTTTTAAAAAAAAATATTTTTTTTATATGTTTTAATTGTAACTTAAATCAACGATCTAGATTAAATCTAAGTTATTTTAACGGTTGAAAAAAAAAAATCCAACGGCTAAAATAACAATCAAAATAATATTTTAAATTAATCTAAATCATATCCAACCCCAAAACTCACTCCAAATGTTATAAATACTCACCCATTTCTCAATTAATCTATCAAAAATATTTTTTCTATTTCTCAATTTATTTTTCCTTTGTCAATTTCATCAATCTCCTTTCATTCTCATACTTTTCATATCATTTCAAGCACATCATCTTCTTCATTCTCATACTTTTCGTATCATTTCAAGCTTTTAATAGAAAACTGTGGCAAGACCATTTTTTCCTTTATGTTTGATGATGATTTAGATGATGAAGAACATCATCAGAGAGTGATACAAGCCAGAGAATGAAGCCACCAAACATGGTGGGTTGGTAGTCGATCATGAGTACAAGAACCGTGAGAGGGAAGATCGCCATCATAATCTCATGTCTGACTATTCCGTTGAAAGGACACATTTTAATATTACGGAATTTTGTAGGCAGTTCCGAATACGAAAAAAGTTGTTTTACCACATCTTGAATGATGTTGTCAATCACGAGCTATACTTTCGCCAGAAAAAAGACGGGCTCAACGGACAAGGGCTATCCCTTGAGCAAAAGTTAACCGATGTCTATCGTATGCTTACATGGGGATGTTCGGCTAACGCAACTGATGAGTATGTAGATTGGGTGAAAGCACAGCTCTTGAATCACACTGTAAGTTTTGTTGCACTTTTGAAGCCATGTATGGACAATGGTACTCAAGTCTCCAAATCCAGTTGACCTTTACAGGTTATTGCACAAGGCAAGCTGTCAAGGCTTCCCAGGCATGTTAGGAAGTCTTGACTGCATGCAGTGGGAATGGAAGAACTACCCATCTGCTTGGGCATGCCAATTTCCTTGTACGACATATGGATATGGCATGCCTTTTTTGGAGCCGCTGGATCCAACAATGATATCAACATTTTAGCTCGTTCTCCATTGTTCAATGATGTGGTACATGGAGTGACTCCTCATGTTGAATATATTGTCAATGGAAATCAATACTATTTGGACTACTATTTGGCAGATGGGATCTACCCCCGTTGGGCTACTTTGGTAAAGGCCATCTCTTCTCCCAATAACCCAAAGAAGAGGCTTTTTTTAACAAATGCAAGAAGCGTACAAGAAGGATGTTGAAAGAGCATTTGGAATACTACAAGCTTGATGAGCTATTGTTCGGGGCCCTGCACGTAAGTGGTGCAAGGAAGTCTATACACTGAGTGGTGTTATCAATTGCTTGTGCCGTATGAATCAGGTGGACTTGGGTTTCTCTGTTTTAGCAACTATCCTTAAACATGGTCTTCAGCCCAATGCTTATACTTTGAATGCTTTGCTTCATGGGGTTTGCAAGTATAGGTCGCTCTCTGAGGCAATGGAGTTGCTCCGGAAAATAGAAGAGAAAGGATTAGCATGCAATGAAATCGCTTACTCTACTATAATTAATGGGTTGTGCAGAGCTGGGAAAACATGTATGGCGCTTGAGATACTCGAGCAAATGTATGAAGATGGAAGGTTTAAGCGTGTCCCTCAATGCTATAATCCAATCATTGACAACTTATGCAAAGAAAGACGAATAGATGAGGCGCTGACCCTATTTCAAGATATGATCAACAAAGGTATTGCACCAAATGTCATCAATTACACTTCATTAATTTATGGATTATGCAACATGGGTCTTTGGACACGAGCACTTGCTCTGTTTGAAATAATGAAAAACAAAGGCATAAAGCCTGATGTTGTCACTTTCAATTCCTTAATTGATGCTTCATGCAAGTCTGGTAAGTGGGAAGAAGCTGTGCTGCTATTTAGAAACATGATTGATTGTGGAGCCTTGCCTAATATTGTTACATTCAATTCTGTATTGGATGCTTTGTGCAAGGAAGGGAAGACGGCGGAGGCACTTAAACTTGTGGAAGAAATGTTCCTTAGAGGTGTAAAGCCTGATCTCTTCACCTACAACTCCTTAATAATAGCCTCTGCCATTCCGCACAATGGAAAGAAGCCACAAGGTTGTTTAATAGAATGTTGGATGAAGGAATTGCACCAAATGTTGTAACCCTTAACACTGTAATACATGCTCTTTGCAAGGAGAGACGGACTCAGGAAGCGCTCTCCGTGTTGGAGCTAATGTCCCAAAGAGGTATGATTCTTAACATTGTCACTTACAGCTCTCTAATTTATGGCATGTGCCGTACAGATCAATGGGCTACAAGGTTGTTTGATGAAATGGTAGTTCAGGGAGTCTTACCTGATACCATAACTTTGAGAGTACTTTTGGATGCTCTCTTCCAAGGAGGGATGCCAGAATAGGCTCATAAAGTAGTTGAGGCCAAAATGGTATGGAGCTTAGCACATTAACTTGCAGTATGTTAATTGATGATTATTGTTTTCATGGCAAAATGGATATGGCAAACAAGGTCATTGATTTAATGGTGATAAAAGATCCTGCCCCTGATATTGCTTCTTGCTATAAAGCCTTGGTCAACGGCTATATGCAAGCTAAAAGGATAGGTGAAGCTTTGAGGCTCGTTGAGGAAATGATCGAACAAGGGGTGATGCCTGATTTGGATACCCTAAAAGCTTTGAGAGGTTTGCGTCCTAAAAGGCATGTTGTATCTGCAGAATAGTTCCCCATGAGACCCGCTAGACCTAGTTACAATCCTGTAAAATCTTTTAACTGCTAATTATGTCATTGGATTCTAAACTTGTATGACCAAGCAATATTAGTGAAATGAAGTGGTTTCAAACAAGTATAGGATCCTTGGTGCTGAAAAATACATTCAATATTCTTAATCTCACCGATGGATCCATAAACAAGAACAGGATCCTTTTCACAGGTACTAACTCTCCCATGAACTTTCAACCACATCCAAATCTTCACACTGCTCTTAGTTCATGGTGTAAGTTCAAGAATGAAGAGACAACAAAAATTTACGATTCGGCACAATGTTATATTGACACATCAGAGCAATATTAGTTGTCATTTCAGTGTGACAATACCTATATTCAATGAAAATTGCAACACAACATATTCAGCATCCAGCGAAATTATAATTTATCGGCAAAAATAATAAAAGAAACAAGAACGATGAAACCATAAATAAAAAATCAACTAAATATAAATAATTAAGTAAAACTTCTATTTTGGGACTGAAGAATTTGCATTACATAGGACACAGTAAATCAAAAGAAAAATAAAAGAGGATTAGAGAAGAGAAATTATCTAATGACCAAATATTCTCTACATCCTTCTTGTCTGCATTTGATTCTTCTAATTTCGATTACAATATTTGATTCTTCATATAGGAGGTAAGTGGCCAAATTGGTGGCCACAGGGGAGGAGATTGAAAAAGAGAAATAAAAAATAAGGACAGTGTTTGATCCACATGAATTCCATGCCTACTTAAACGAAAGCCTCCATACCTCTCGGATATTAGAAGAACCATCTGCAACTTCAGCGACCATGCTAGAAGCCAAGACCCCTGCAGAAAGGAATTCCAATAAAAATTATTTCAAATTTCTTATTTAAGCATCTGTAAAGATATCACTCTGAGACAAGGATGGTGATGTGGACTCTATAAGAAGAGAGGCCTACTTCCAAAAGCAATAATGTATAGATATAAATTATTTGACAACAGTCAATAACCACATTGTCACATCTTTAAGGCCTCCAAAATGCCTGTTCATAAAAGAAACATATATTTAACAAAGGAACCATGAATATTTTAATTACAACGACAAAACCCTGCTCATCCATGAATGTACTATACTGTAACTTGTTCCATCCCCTTAAACCCAATCCCATTAACCAAAGGAATAGGGTAGAAAACAAATAAGAGACTACTTCTGCGGCGAGATAGATTCTAAGTAGTTTTCTAGATAATTCAGACTAGCTTACCATCTTTCTCCACAATAGATAGGAACCTTCGAGTTCCCCCACCGACTCCCAAACAATGCTTCTTGGCAGCCATGTATACTACTCCATGAGAAGGAGTTATGCATTGTAAATTAAACATTAAGACCTACAGCTGCGGCAAGTTCACAGTTCTGAATCATAAATAATGACATACTAAATAAGAAATACCTTCTTTACGTCCCCGCATCACACTTTGTAACTTGCAATGCTGGGGGTTGGAAGCTTGGAACATTTGAATTTACATTAGGTATGGTGAGACACTGCAGGACCTCCGTATTGAACTCCTGGAAATGAATGGCACCCGCACCCTGAAGCAACAATGAAGAATCTTAAGAAATCTAATCTATGAAAACAAATGTACGAGCTTAAGAAACAAAAACTCACCTCAAGGCAAGCAAAGATACCAGGAAGTCCATGACCACAACCAAGCTGAAAAATCATGATAGGAAACACAGTGGCCTCAATTTCAAGGCCAACGAGGAAATCATTCATCAGAGATAATCACTTGTAGTAGTGATATATGAGTTATATGCCGATTATTGATCAATGACGATGTAGCTTCATGAAATGACTTGTGAAGGTGCACCAATTAACACCTAATTAAATGATGTGTCTGCAGATGCGAAGAGATATATTCATTCAAATAAAGGGATGTAACTTCTTCAGAAATTATATGTTAGAGCCCATAAAAAAGACTCCAACTAAACATAACTTCCATCTAATCCAACAGAACATAGTGTTATTTCTAACAAAGGTTAAAGTGTTCAGGCTATTTGTCATTAAACCATTTGTTAATGTATCACGAAGAGATTGCAGTTCATTCAAGTTAACATTCTTTACTTTATTGAATGTTCCAAGCTAGGATATAAGAGCCCCAAAAAGTTGACCTAGCCATCTGTTAGTAACAATTAAAAGGCACCTAGAGATTTCAAGAGTTCCCCTCTACAATGTGTGAAAATGAAATTAATGGAGTAATACTTAGTGAGGAAACCCTACAATCTGAATGAAGTAA